GGGCTGCCGTGGAGACTGGGAAACTGAGGCACGGGCAGCTGGCGCCGCGGCAGTGCCAGCCGTGCACGGCTCTCGCACAGCTCTTGCACGGCTCTTGCATGGCTCTTGCACGGTTCTTGCACCGCTGTTGCACCGCTGTTGCACAGCTCTCACGCGTCTGTTGCACAGCTCCTGCACGGCTCTCGCACAGTTCTTGCACGGCTCTAGCACAGCTCTTGCACGGCTCCAGCACGGCTCTTGCACAGCTCTTGTACTGTTCTTGCATGGCTCTTGTATGGCTCTTGTATTGCCTTTGCACGGCTCTCGCACGGCTCTAGCACGGCTTCTGCACGGCTCTAGCACAGCTCTTGCACGGGTCCAGCACGGCTCTTGCACAGCTCTTGTACTGTTCTTCCATGGCTCTTGTATGGCTCTTGTATTGCCTTTGCACGGCTCTCGCACGGCTCCTGCATGGCTCTAGCACAGCTCTTGCATGGCTCTAGCACAGCTCTTGCACGGGTTCTGCACAGCTCTAGCACAGCTCTTGCATGGCTCTAGCACAGCTCTTGTATTGCTTTTGCACGGCTCTTGCACAGCTCTTGGACAACTCTTGCACGGCTCTAGCACAGCTCTTGCACGACCCTTGCACAGCTTTTGCATGGCTACTGCCTGGCCCTTGCCTGGCCCTTGCATGGCTCTTGCACAGCTCCAGCTCTGCTCCTGCACGGCTGCTGCACGCCTCTTGCGTGGCATCTGCACAGCCGTTATACTGCTCTTAACACGGCTCTTGCAGGTGCCGAGAGCAGCCTCGACACAGGCAGGCGGCCGGAGGAGAGGGCATGAGGACCCATCCGCCCGCAGGCTGGCGCAGGGGGAAGTGATGGTTGCTTGGAGGCGCCTGAGCAGCCTCCCGTGCCTCAGTTTCCCCCTCTGCAAGCAGTGGCTGGGAGGAGGGTAGGACGCAGGCCCTGCCGTGGGGGCTGGGCGGCTGCCCCCGGCCCTGCTCCCCCTCTCCCTTGGCCGGGCGGCGCGGCAGGAGTTAACCAGGCGCCGGCGGGGGGGGACCTTATTGGGGCC